GGATGGAGAGGGGCAACAAGAGACAAGCCAGAGAGGAAATAGAGGTCACAAATATTCTGGAATATAACTTTCAGAAAGACAAATGACAAACTGACACAGAAATTCTGTACTAAGATAAAGCTTTCTGGGTATGGTAGCACATGCCTATAATTCCAGCACTTGGGAGACTAAGGCAAGAGGATTGCCCCAAATTGGGGGCCAGCCTGGACTACACAGCGAAACTCTGACTCAAAAAAACAACAAACACACAAACAAACAAGATTAAGGCCTTTTCCTGTAGTCACCTGTCTGTGACCACAGGAATAAAAAAAGTAAATGAAGATTCCCTAGGACACTTACATATCACACAGGCAGCAAGGACTGTCTCTACTAGGCTCTGCCTCCCCACTTAGGATGCACCAACAATAAAGGAACAAACTGCGAGTAGGGCCTGGGAGATAGTTCAGTGGCATAAGCAACTCCCTGTCAAGCACAAAGTCCTGAGTTTGATCCCTTGTAGCAAAAATAAATAATAAATTGAAAATAATTTTTTCCAGTCTGGTTTATCTAAAAGGCAACAAGCAGGAACTTTTCCTGAAGTTTGTCAGTATTTGTACTTCATAGATTACCTTCCGCTCCTTCAAATCAAAGGACTTCCTCAACTAACTAGAAAAAAAAAATAATTTCACACCCTTCTTAGGGTCTCACACATCAAAGAACTACATGACTTGCTTAATATCCTTGAGACTGCAAGGAAAGAGAAGCAGTGACAGCAAGAGACACCTAGAAAAATCCAAAGATTTTAGTCTATGCGAGACTCCAAGCTCCCTACTTACTATTGAAAACAAAGCAGGGTGATCTCTAATCCTTCTCCACAACACCAGAGGTAGCAATGAACATTTCTGATTCATTTGTACTGGGTACACTTTTTGCGAGTTCAGAAGTTACCTGAGATATATAATAACAACTTAATTCACTTGGAAATTAAGTTAATTCCAACTTAATTTGCTCAGAACACCAATTCCTCAATACCTCTTTAAAAACCTGAGTGCAGTTCACGACTTCCTGCAGCTTCACTCACTGTGACATCATCCATTTGGAAGCTATAAGGCCGTGCTGAGGCCAGAAAATAAGTCTCAATATGGACAGTACATAGCTATTTGTATTCTGTTTTGCTTTATTAAAAGACTCCCTCTTGGTAGTCCAGATTCCCCCTATCAAGCCACCAAAATGAAATTAAGGGGGAATATATCCTTCAATCAGTGTCTTGTCTAACAAAAGCCACCTATTCGCTAAAAGGTCTTGACAGCCCACTACTGAAGCCACATTTAAAAAGACACAAAATCTGTTTTACATATTTATAAAACTCATCCCCCTTCACTCCCCTCTAAGCTTGCACAGAGATATAATTTTAGCTTGCTGTAAACCAGATAATAGCTGTTTAAAAAGAATTAACAGTTCTCTTTTAATTAAAACATTTTTTGAGGTTCTACTTAATGCTTTTTATTAAAAACTGGAAACAAAGCTTTTGCAAATAAGGAGAGGAAGAGGGACTGAAGAGGGAAGGGGAATGGGAAAAAAAGAAGCAAGTTATATCACGTACAGATACAAATTCCCTATGATGAATGTGGCCATTATGTGTATCAAAAATGTATGAATAATTTTTTTAATGAAAAAAAGCCTTTTATTTACACTCTCCTTCTCTCTGGGAGGGTTATCCCTCAATCAGAGATATTCAATAGCAGAGCAGTAATGTTTAACCTTCAAACTGGGCAGCACTAACTCACTCCCTGGTGTCATTTCTACGTTCATCATTTGTCGACCATCCTCTTTATGTTGTAAGAACATATGCAGTTTCACAGACAGAAACACAGCATGAAGATAACTGGTTAATTCCATTTCTAAATTTCATTAAGAATCATTGGAGGGGTTATTTTGTTTTGATTTGATTTGAGACAGAGTGTCATTATGTAGTTCAGGCTGGGCTTGAACTCTCTGTCTTGCCTCAAACTCTTGACCATCCTTCTGCCTTAGCTTCTTGAGTGCTGGGATTAAGACAAGTGCCGGATTACAACCCTGCACCACCAGGACAGGTCCATGAATCATTGTTTTATTTTTAACCTTTCTCAATATGTTAGCATTTTCCAAGAACCTCGGGCCAGGACAGTGAGATACAGTTACACATCAAGAGCGGAGACTGGGCAGAGATGTGGCTCAGTGGTAAAGTGCTTGCCTAGCATGTGCAAGGCCCTGGGTTCCACCCCCAGCACTGCAAAAGCAATGAAATTAGAATGTAAATCCTACTGTCCTTCCTGGGCCTCATTTTCCTCTCTAAGGTCCATTCCAGCACTAATGCCTGGAACTGAAGTTCAACAACTACATCATCCCAAATCACAAATTCGACGCATATCAAACAGATGACCAATACGTGTATTATAAATTTCTTTTTGTTCAGTGCTACTGAGGATGGTGCTCAGGGCCTTCTTATTGAGCTATATTGCCCACACTGGGCTCAAATTTGCAATCTTCCTGCCTCAGTTTAGGAGGTCCAGACTGAAGTACAAAATGAATGCTATGATACTAGTGTGTGGCACCAAGTCAAACCAGTGAACTTGCAACAGTATAGCACCCCAACAAATGGCTATTAACTCCATTACTGCTTCACAATTTTTCTATTAATTTGAGGAAATAGTCTTTTTTTTAACCTTTTTTTTTTTTTTAATTTTTGCTATACTGGGGATTGAACTCAGGACGCTACACTTGCCAGGGTAGTGCTTATTCTACTGCGCTATCTCCCCAGCCCTTTTTTACCTTGATAAAGTATCAATTATCTTTTGGGGGGGGTAGGTCGGTATCTCACCTGCTCAATTGCCTAGGATGGACTCAAAGTTGTAATTCTCCTACATCAGCCTCCTAGAGTTCTGGGATTACAAATGTGCACCACCAAACCAGACTTGTATTTTTAAAAAGACAACCCACTTTTAACATTTGAAGTATGCATCGAATTTTTCTCTTAAGAAACACTGGAAATTTTCCGGTGACTAAGAAGAAAGAAAAACTATCCTGTCATATATGAAGTAAAACTAGTCAACAAAATAATCACTTTCCAAAAAGAGTCATGATTAAAGTAGACAGTAACCACATCATGACAGAAAAGTAAAAAGGAGTTTCCCAGATCAAGTCAGGATGACATAACTTTAAAGTATACCACAACAAACCTGCACCCGCTTGAAACCCTGATAACTGGACACTCCAGACAAAAACTTTCCAAATTGCTATAATTCAAAGGCGTCAATGACAGTGCAGTGGAATTCGGGGGGATTTTATCATTCCCATACCCTTCTGCAGTGAGTGCTAAATCTGGTTAGGGACCCATCCTAACAACCACACTCGCCCTTGAAAGACATCATTTGTGTGCGAACCGTTCAAACACGTCCCAGCCTCTCCAACTAGGATACTGCCCTTTTCTTTACAAATGAACCTGACCTCATAAAGGACACAAATAACTTCTCACAAAAAGACTTAGCCCCAGAGCACAAACAGGCCCTCTCTAGCGCCGAGGGAGTTCCTATCCCTCTTGATGTCGTGCAAGTTCTCTCCATGCCTTCTTTCCTGCCCCCATGGAGAAGAACAGAGCTGCGAATAGTAGGAAAACCCTCGGGCCCAGCGGATGGGCTGGGTTCTAACGGTTTTGAGGAACTGGTCTCCCGGGATCTTAGGGCGAGGACAGAAAAACTCACCAAGTTTTTGTTTTGCTTTTTAAAGTCTGGGTGGAACTTACTTTCACTAGGATGTAGGACGCCTCCTTCCCTCCCGTACAACTGCTGGAGGACAAGCTTTCCTTTATTTTCTATCAAGTCCCTCGACCTCCACTGGGCTTAGCGCACACAACCCTTCCCCTTCGCGGTGGCCGCCGCCGCGCCAAGGCGCAGAGGGCCGGAGGGCCGCGCGGACCCCGCGGCGGGGGCACAGCCCGAGCCGGTCCCCCGGGCGAACGCGCCGCCGCCGCCGCGCAGCCCCGCGCCCCGCAGACCGCACTCCCCGGCTGCGGGACAAAGCGGGGACGAGGAGGCTCCGCCGGGCTCCCCGGCCGCAGCGGACGCGAGCAAGGGGCCCGGGCTCGGCGCGCACTCACCCGACAGCTCGTCCGGCTCCAGCCCGGTCTCGGTGTCCAGCCCGCAGATGACAAAGTAGTCGGCAAAGCGACTGGGCGCCGAGCC